CAGTCGGCAAATTTAAATTTTCGCCAGTGCTGTGGCGCTGTAATCTTTGGCTATGTCTTGGGCTACTCAAATATTTTACGTTTTTGATACTAAATTAACTTCTGAAGTATAATTTTTTATTGTTTTTATATTTTTCAATATATTTATTTTGTTTCTACAAAATAAAAAAATAATTTTTAACAATACAATAGTCTTTGTTAGGCTTAACATTGACGAAAATTCAGCGCGAAGCGACACGCAAAGGATAAAAATTTCAACACGGGATAAATTAATATATTTTTTCGTACATAATTGGTTATCCGAAAAATAAGTTATCCAAACAATCCCAGTCCCCAATTGATTCGGATAAACGACGCTCTACTGTAATTTGCTTGTAGTAATTTAAATACATGGCTCATGACAATTTATATTTTAAAAATTTAGAGTATCACCAATGCAAAAAGCAGAAGTAGTAGAAATGGTTAAAGCTTCTACTAAATCAGTGACATTAGCAATTGGGGATGGTGCTAATGATGTTGCCATGATTCAGGTTTGTTCATACAACATTAAATATTAAAAATTTTAAATACCTAATAGTATTTAAACATAACTTTGAATTTTTATATATGAGAAACACCATATGTTCCCTTGACCTTGTACATTATTTTAAGCCTGTTTTTAGTGTAGATTAGATGTTTTTTGAGACAGTGTCTCATCTTGAGATCAAAGTTTATATTTCTAATTAAATGTACTATTTTGATTACTGTTTGAATTAAAATAGAATCAATCTCTAACTAATTAAATTTAAAATGTTCTAGAATTTTTGCACGTTTGGTCATTGGTTATTTAAGTTGTAAATGTCCAAAATTTTTAGGGTTAAAGCTATGGAAATTTTCAAAAATTTTGGAGATTTACAACATAAATAACGGACTGCTAAATGTATGGAAGATTTGAAAACATTTTGAATATAATTAATTTAATGATTTGATTCTATTTTTGTTCAAACTGTGTTTGAAATGGCAGATTTAATTGGAAATATAAGCTTTGATCTGAGATGTTATGTCTTGAAAAACATTTTATCTATACTAAAAATGGACTTTTGAAAATGAATAGCTTACAATATTAAGGAAACAAGTTTTTATTTAAAATATAAAAGTCCAAATTAGATTACTTTTGTAACTTTAAATGAAATTAGAAAATAAGTTTATTTATAAATAAGCTTTTTAGGAACAGTTCCATTTCCAATAGATGTTAATTTCATTATTAATGGAAACAGAGAAGCCTTATCATTGAAAAAACAAATAATCTTAGCATAAGTTAAAATTTCAATATACAGTAGTACCTCAGGATATGAACGCTCCAGCATACGAAATTTTTAGAGTATGACATGAAATTCGAACATATTTTTGCTCCACGGTACTAACAAAAACTCACTATATGATGTTACATTAGTGTGAACCAAGGGGGTAGAGCAATGCATGTCTCCCCACTTACCGGCTTCGTTGTTGGAGAATGGCTATAGGAGGGCAAAAATAAGTGAGTGGGGAGGAGTTGGAAGTCGTGACAAGATGTCCAATTGACTACACGGGTAGAAATAAACCAACACATTTAATGAACAGATAATAAATTATACATAAAGACAATAATTATAACCTGCGCGTAATGAAAATAAAAATCTATTCTATACTCTAACCTAATCTAAAGCCTAAAGATTGAGAAAGACCTCACGTTGGTGAGAGAGAGAGAATTTATGGCAAGGGTTTACCATGTAGGATACGATCTCATCGTATAGGGCGTTGATAAAACGCTCTGTGATAGTCGTCATCTAAGCGAAGTGCCCTTGGAAGGCTATGTGGAGCGATGTCCTTTTTTGTCAGCTGGGCTATGTATAAGGTATTAGCTCCATTGCTCTTTGACTGTAGAGTTCCTCCTGGTGGAGTTCGCTCAGAGGGTTCTTCGGTTAACCTCTTCGAGGAGTAATTCTGGCGTATATGGAGAGAATGGGAAATATTCTAAGTCCTTTACCTTGTATGGAGCGGCGATAATGAGCTTCATAGATCCTGAGAGGGCTGGAAGAGTCCGCTTCATTGTTTCTTCCCCGACGACCGCTGTCGAGGTGTCGGATTGTTCCCCTTTTATACCCTTTTAGTGTGGGAGAAATCTGGGATTTTGACAGTTCTCCTGATTTATGACAGTCTCTCCCGTCATGGGTGACAACATTAGAGACATCTCTTGACCAATAAGTATTAATTTCGTCATCACCTGGGGAGATGACTGACCATTTTTAGTAATGTTTCTCACCGTACGGTTGACCTTTGTAGGTGACCTTTTGTAGTTAATTTGCACACCGCAGGTCTCCGGGGAGCTTTCGCGGACTCAGACGACTTCGTCCGTCAAGAAGGTCATTGAATTGCACTGTTTCTGTCACTGTCCAGGGTCTATTCCTCGGGCAACAGGGTGAGAATGGGAGAAATGACGGAAATAATAAAGAAAAAAAAACTCTATTCGTATTATTATTATTCCAAATTCTCACAAGAGAGTCAGATTCTCACATTAGTTTGCAGCATCATTTTTTATTCACTTCAGTTCATCGGTCTCAGTCCACATGTTTGCTTCATCGTGGAAGGATCTCACTCGATAAAGGAAATCTTGAGGTATTATCAGAAAGTTACTGATTTTATTGAAAATAAATATCCCGAAAAGATTTACACTGGCTGTATTGCTGCTCAGAGTAATGACATTTGTCTAATTCATTTTAGAAACATTTTAAAAAGTAGGCAAAGCCAAACATCTTTGGATATATATTTTACCAAGCGAGATCTGCTTGTGGTATTTCATAGAGTTGTTAATTTTAGCTAACAACTCTATGAGATACCACAAGCAGATCTTGGAATTGGCAGATTTAATTTGCCACACATATTTCTTTCAATTTGAAGATAAAACTTATCTGCAGGCACAGGGCATATCGATGGGTAGCCCCATGTCAGCTATACTCTGTGAATTAGTGTTGCGTAAACTCGAAAACCATATACTCCCCTCGTTCCAGGAAGACATATTGTCCTACACAAGATATGTTGTTGATATCTTTATTTTGTGGAAAGATAATCGCAGAGTTAACCAGTTTATAGATCTGATCAACGACAACCCATATGGATTAACTCTGGAGCAGGAAAATGGAAGCAATGTTAATTTTTTGGATGTATCTATAACTTGCAAGGAAGAGGAAATCAGAACAGATATATACCAGAAACCCAGTTATCTTCCTATTATCATTCCTAGGAACTCCACAGACCCTGAGCATATAAAAATGGCAGTTTTTCGTTCATGAATAAGGAGGGTGCATATGCATTGCACCAGCATCCGCAACACTTACAACGAGTTGGAATATATCCAAAACATAGAGGTACAGCAAGGATACCGTACAGAAAGAATAGATGCTTTCATTGCGAATTGTCAGAAGCGACACCCCTCGCAGGGAGGGAATCAGCATAAGGAAACAGTCATGCTCAATTACTTACTGTTCCTCAAAGGAATGGTTAAGAAAGTTACCATAAATAAGAATATACAGATAGTTTACAGGCGTAATCCCACCGTGTACAGACTCTTAAGGAACGATAAAGGTCAGTTACGAATGCAACGTGATGGCAGGGGTATACTCTATAGCGTTAAAAGACCGTAGATTTAACTCCAATTTGGTATACATAGGAGCAACCATGAGAAACTTAAAGAAAAGAATTGTTGAACATAAGCACTCGGTGAATAAAAACATAGACTCTACAGTGCTTGCTGCTTTTGCCAAACAGTAGAATATTGAGGTCTTCTGGGATCAGGCGTCGATCATCAAGGCTACAAGATCCAAGCAGGCCGTGAAACATCTGGAAAAACTATAAATTCACAAGGCGCAGTTGCACACAAACTGTATTAATCATAGGGATGTTGACGGATTGTCATTGGCATGGAAATCCTTCTACGATGAGTTGATATAGTTTATATAAGTGGGAAATGTTAATTAAGATAATTTTTACTGGATGTATATATTTTATTTTATTTCTTTATTTCGTTTTAATTAACTTGCACAATCTTTGCGATTATTTAAGCTTGTTAAATCTTAACGTAAATTTGTGTAACCACTTTTTGAAGTATTATTTTACATAATTTCGAATTCTTCATTCGATTCAAAATGATAACTGAGGATGATCGCTTAAAGCGTTCGAAAGCGTTTTTAAGATATTAAAAACGATTTGTTGGATTGTTTAAAGGTTTTGTTTTTACTTATACTTATATTGTAGTTCCAGTAAGAAAGTATTTATTTATTTAATATTTAATACCAAACAATCTGCTGAATTGCATCAGGCTATATTATGGCTACAGTCTAGCAGATCATTTGGTATTAATCAAAAATCTGGTTGTGTGATACTTACAATTGGAAAAAATATTTAAATACAAAACTTCTATACATGCTTAACTTCTTCAGATTGTTTTTTCCAATTGAATAAAAATAAATTATGATTTTTTATCAAGTTTTCTAATTATACACAATGAATTTCTCTCATTATTTTTAATTGCAGAATTTAATTAGTTATTAATTATCTATACAGGCTGCACATGTTGGAATTGGCATAAGTGGTGTTGAAGGTTTACAAGCTGCCTGTGCATCAGATTATGCCATTGCCCAGGTAAAAATAAGCATTTAGTTTTTTTCTAATTACTCAAAAATTAATCCATTTTATATCTTATATGAAATTTATGATACTTAATGAATTAGTCTTTTTAATTACACTTTCAGTTTCGGTTTCTTATTCCTTTACTATTTGTCCATGGTGCATGGAGTCATGCACGTCTCTGCAAACTTATACTTTATTCTTTTCATAAAAACATATGTTTATATGTTATTGAGGTAAGATTTTAATTAAAATATTGTATAATTATTTTAATGTTAACTCATAAAGTAAACATATGAAATTTTTAGATAAAAAAAATTTTATACTTAAAACTTACCAGAAAAGCTTTAAAAATTTTAAATTTTTGTTATAATTTAACAGCTTTGGTGGGCTATACTAAGTGGTTGGTCTGGACAAACATTATTTGAGAGGTGGTCAATTGGTCTTTATAATGTGGTTAGTATTAAATCTAATTTTTTTCTTTTTATTTTGAAGTATTTTAGAATGTATTTTAATGATGATTTTATTATTTGGTTGGAAATGTGGACAAGCAACTTAAAAAATATAGTAAAAAAATATATTTCACAAAAAAGAGAGAAACATTTTCATATCTTTATGTGACCTTTGATCGGAGTTTGCTTTTTCTCGGAGTCTAAATTTTTTCCAATGGTTTGTTTTTGCGTCAGCCTTTTGTTTTTGTACTTCCGGGGGCTCTGGGGGCCTTAAAAATCCCACTTCTGACACCACTGTGACCGTAGGGTCGGTGTCTCATTGACATCACGTCAGGAGACCTAAATCTGACACCACCAAGTCTCTGGGGGACTCGGAAATCATGACGTTATGTCACGCGAGCGGTAGCGTGTGAGCGCTTGGATTCGAAGTAGAGGTGAGGAGAGAGACGAGGAAGTAATTTACTCGGATTCCATGGTTGCTAACAAATAACAATTTTAATAAAAACTAAAGAAAATACATATATATTCTATTTCTATCATAGCCCCCTAATTATACTATTCCATTCGAGAGAGAGAGTTTACACGCAAATCGTGGGTTGATAAATACCTTGCTTCTGGGTCGAAGGATCTGTGGTCACACCGATGATGATACGCCGATGGAAAGTTTAATCTACTGGTTCTGGATCTTGTCCGTTCACTGGGGTGGAGGTGTGGAGATGTTATCCTTAAACAGGCACGATCTTTTTCTCTTTGAGCGTAGGGTCACGGTGTTAATCCTGGGTCACGATTTTAAATCCTAGAGGACGACTTTGTTGAGCGGACTTTTTGAAGACGACTTTTGTAGAGGGACTTCGGATGACGACTGACCTCGGGGTCTTTTTTCTTTTCTCTTGTTATTCCTCTTGGGTTTTTTCCATGAGGTCAGGTGGTTGCCGTTAACGGTCTGGCGTCCAATATAGGCCCTCCATCGAAAGTTCCTGGTGACACATCTCTGACTAGCTGGATCCGTCTCAACAAGGAACCAACTCCGTGGGAAATAAATTTTTATGGCTGTTAGCCTAACACTCGATTTTAACTGATTAAAGTTCCAATAATTAAAATTTAAAATAACACTTTATTGTGGGTCTGTTTGTCCCTCACATTTATTTAGACCAAATTCAACCCATTATATTATTTGAAACAAATACAAGATACACAGTGTTCCCAAAGCATATGAAATTTAATATTTACATGTGAATTTCATATGCTTCAAGAACACTGCATGTAACCTGCATTATTTTGAATGATACTGTGAGCTGAAGTTAGTCCAAATAAATGTCCAGAAGCATTTTGCCCTTACTTAAACTTTGGTTTCCTTAAATAGCTGTATTTTCTTTTTGGAAACATAAAATGGTACCAAGCCTTACTGAAATTTGTTTAAAAATTTATATTCTTGTTTCAGATTTTATGAAATGATATTTTTAAATTTAAATTTCATTTGTAATTTTTGACTTCTAAAGAAAATTTGATATTAAAAAAATTATTTATTAGATTTTTACTGCTGCTCCTCCTGTGGTAATGGGCTTATTTGACAGGACATGTAGTGCAGAAACCATGATGAAATTCCCTGCTTTATACAAGCCATCACAGAGTGCACAATATTTTAATGTAAAAGTAAGTATATTGTAATAATAAAATCTCTTAACTGGAATAAATATAAAAATGAAAAGTTCCAGCAAAAAATTTTTTTATTTATTTAACATTTTCAGCTATCTATACAGCCATCATCAGGAACAAACATATAAAGGAACATTTTTAAAATTTAAATTCAACAGTGTTCCAAATATGGATCAATGATGTACAATTGTGATAACATACATAAATAATAATAATAAAGTATACAAAAATATATAATACATAATAATATACTATAAAAAATAGTGCTAAGGAAAATGGGAAAACACTGTTATTTCTAAAATGCAAAACAAAATTTTATTACACAGATGTTATGAAGTTGATGTATTGATAATATGGAACACACAACAGGATATGCAAAGCTTCATCAATGCAGTCAATAATCTCTACAGATTAAAAATAGTCCTGGACCAATTCAATAATAAAGAAGCACACTTTCTGGATCTGATCATCATCCAAGTAAATGGGGAGATATGCACAAAGTTATATGTTAAACCAACATCCCACCCATTATACATGCCTTGTTGCTCTAACAATCCTCCCAGATACAAAATGGAAGCTTTTAAGGCCCTTGTCACAAGGGCTTACACACTGTACAGATATAAGGGACACCTATAAAACAGTTGAATAGGATCAGAAACATAGCAGCCATTCACAAATACAGCCAAAATATCATCAACATCTTAGTTAATATACAAGCAGAGAATACTCCCCATAAAAAGTAATAAACCCACTCTATCACACTGGTAACATATAACAAGTTGCTTGATAACACCTTCAAAAAAGTAGTTGTTTATTGCTCTGTCTATTAGACAGGGCAATAAGCCACTAACTCATAAGTACAACAATATGGTCTATGATTTATTGCATAATGACAGGGGTCCAATAGATCTTTCCATGGTCTCAAGAGTGTGTGAAATACTTTTTACTCTAGGTCTAGAAAATAGGGTCAGCAAATATATAAAATTCACATCCTGAAATCTACCTACCAGACTTAAGGAATATTGTTACAATGTACATAAAGGCACATGCACCACAATGCTGGCTATTATGGCAACACTTCCAGATAATGTATCACATTTCACAGGCACAAAACTCTTTAAATCCTTCAGGAACTAACACTTTGGAAAAACTCTAGCAAAAGTAGCCATATACAAAAATACTATTAAGAACACATATATTAAGCACAAGAATGCATCGAGTATATCAGCATGCAAATTTCTTATACCCTGCAACAGGGACAAAACTCAAAACTACACAGTAATTTATTTTATATAATCAATGGATCTAGTGTTTATTATTATTGTTTATATGTTTATATATATATTTTATTATTATGTATTATATATTTTTGTATACTTTATTATTATTTATTTGTTATTGCAATTGTATGTCACTGATCCATATTTTGAACACAGTTGAATTTTAAAAACTATTCCTTTGTGTTCATTTCTGATGATGGTTGCATTGATAGCCAAAAATGTTAGAAAATTAAAAAAAAAAATTTTTTGCTGAAACAGGCTGAAATTTTTTATTTTTTTAACTATATTGTATTAAAAAATAATGATGTAGATATAAATTTGAAACTAAATGAATTTTTGTTGTTAAAAATTTGTGCTTTAAAAGCATATACATAATTATAATATTAAATAAAATATAAATAAAAATTGTTAATAAATCTTTTGAAGATGAAGTTAATATAATTCTGAAACTTATAAGTCCTTACATTTGTACTAATATCNTGAAGATTTATGTAAAAGCTACTTAAAATGATTATTTTATAAAACATTGAAATACAGTAGACCCCCATAACACGGTAGATACATTCCGTGTTTTATGAAATTCATGTTGTATGAGTCCTTAAATACATGAGCCAATCAGCCTGGCACGTATGCAGTTTACAGACTACGGCTGTTTGAAAGGTTTTCTTCCATAAAATTAATTGATTCTAGACTAATTTGACTCAACATTTCCAAAACACATATAATTTTTTGGGAATAATTCATATAAACTATGCTATAAACAAAAAAATTGTAGAATTACTTACTGAGAGTGTGCACCGTTTGACGACGCTATTGCTTAAGCTTATTTTCATCACGGAACAGTGCATCGAACAGCGGGCATGTTTCCTGAAAAATTATTTTTCTGCGAAAAATTTGCTGAACTTTGGAGACATTGTTAATTTAAATATAATTTTTATGGACGTTAAATAATAATTGGTTTTTAGTAGGTCTGCTGCTCGTTTAAACTCAACGGTTTGTGCAATATCTACTATTGGTCTAGATCATTGGTTCCCAATTAGTTTTTCCTGCGTACCACTTCAAGAAAGAGCTCAAACTCGCGTACCCCTTATAGCAGAAATTCATATTAATTCATACTAATATTATAAATTCGAAGGTATTGCTGTCTGTCTGCCACCTTTTCACATCTAAACCGCTGAACAGGTTTTAATAAAATTTGGCACAGAGATAGCTTACATGTTGGAGATGGACATAGCCTACATTTTACTGCGAGAAAATATATTACTCCCACGAGAAAATTCGATATAATGCGGGCGAAGCCGTGGGTAGACAGCAAGTGATAAATAGAATGTTTGTTTTTTACATTTATTACCTTTAAAATACAATTCTAATACAGTAATAATGAAAATAACATAAGGTTATTTAATTTTAACGTGACAAATGTGCACGATTTTCTTTGCACAACTTTGTAAAATCTGGTTGCTTTTTGGTCAGCTTCAGTCTCGAGTCATCTTCGAGTTGAAGTCGGTGACGATGTTTAGTTTTCACGTTTGTCATGGCGAAAATCCGCTCTCGCAGAAATATGTTATGCAAAATGGTAGTAAATATTTTATTGCTGCTTCACTGACATGATGATAGTGATAATTGTACAAGTTATTTCTTGCGCAAGAATTTAGGTATTGTCACAAATGCATTTTTTAACAATGAAATTTCGAGAATGTTTTTAGTTATAAATAAACGAATTTGTGCATTCCACATCGTGTTGTAAATTGCCGAATTTTTGATGGTCCAACCATTATTTTTTTTTGATTGTTTCATATCATGCATTTAAATTTTAAATTGGCCGATTTTAGATTGCCGCGCGTACCCCTTCATGCAATTTCGCGTACCCCCAGGGGTACGCGTACCACTGGTCTAGATTCAACCAATCATGTCACGACACGAGTCGGCGATGACGTTTTACCATATTTTATGAGTTTCTTTTAGTGTGTTTATACGAATATGGTCGCAATTTTTTTGCTGTTATATACAAATCCGTATTATATGAACCCGTTTTATAGAGGGGTCTACTGTATATATGATAAATTTGTAATGATTTGATATGAAAAAATGTAAGATAAATTTGTAAAATTTAAATAAATTACATGTAGGTTTTCTGGATATGGATTGTAAATTCTATATTTCATTCTGTACTGTTGTATTGGTTGACTTATTTAAGCATGACTCAAGGTATGAGAATTAAATTTAAAAATTTTAAATAAATACTTTGTAATTTAACTATTGTGTTTCAGTTTTAATGAAGAAATAATAACTTAACTAAAAATTTATTTCAGATATTGCGTGGTCAAATGGTAAAGAAGGTGGCTATCTTGTACTTGGTAACATGATATATACAGTATGTGTTTTAATTTTTCTCATTTTTTTTAAAGTATATTATAATGAAGCTTTTTCTAAATTAGCCATTAAGAATAAACAAAACAAATTTTTGTTATTTTGTTAAAATTTGCAATTAATTAATACTACTAAAAAATTTTTAAAAATCACAAAATCTCTTATATTAACTTCACTTTTGATGCTCTTCCATTGTATAAATTTATGAAAATGTATCATTTCTTTCAGTATGTAGTTGTGGCCGTATGTCTAAAAGCTGGATTAGAAATGAATGCGTGGACATGGGTGAGTTAAGAAATTTTAATTTGGCATAATTAGTTTTCGTATTTACTTCTAAACTTAAAATAAAATTCTATTTCACAGGTAACACATTTAGCAATATGGGGAAGCATTGCAAGCTGGTTTCTATTTTTATTAATATATAGTAATTTTTGGCCATCTCTTCCTATAGCTGCCGATATGGTGGGAATAGTAAGTTTATTTCATTTGGTTTAGTTTTATTACTGAAAAACATACTTTGATTAACTATACTGATTATTAAACATCTTACAATCAATTTTTATCATGTAGGACAGAATGGTAATGAGTTCAGGTGTATTTTGGATGGGATTGATAATTATTCCATTAATAACACTATTAGGAGATTTCACATATAAAGTGTATGTACAATTTTTAATTTATGATTGCAGAGAACAGACTAAAATCTGAGCACTTTGAAAACTTTAATACATTTTATTATCTATTAATAAAATCAGGGATTGGCAATCTATGGTATGTGGGATGATTTTCAGTATCATTCTGATTGAATAGAACACTGTATTATGGAACACTGCAGGTATTATGGAACCACCCCATTTCAAACTGATAATAAAGGCGAACTGTAGCAGATTGTGGCTGAACTGAACTAGGCAGACATCCATAGCGAGGGGAAAACCCGTTTTATTTCAGTTAAATGGTTGTCCATATTTAATCAGCAAATTTGTTTTTTTTTTTCAAAATTTGCAAGTTTTGAATGCTAAGTGAATTTAATTATTTTTAAAATATAAATCGTGTAGTTGTAGGTTCACTGGTGCATGTATTCCGTTCCAGAGACTTAGGGGTACATATTAATCTGTGTGATGTTCACGTTTTTTAAATTTTGGTCTCGACAGACATAAGTTAATTCGAGATGGCGATGCGTGAAATACGGACCCCTTTGGTGCTTTTACAGTAATATGGAACTCAACTCCTCCGAACTCTCTCTTTGCAATCAGACATTCGTCCGGAGCAATTTGGGAAAAAGACACTAGGTAGAAAGTCTGAAAATATCGAAAAAGAGCTGCTGGAATATATATTGTTGATGGAGGTCATATTTTTCTATTATAAAAGCATTTTTGCGATAAAATACATTGGAGTAAATAATTTTGTAATTATTTAACATTTTTTGTCCTTTCCTATTTGTTTTTGGCTACATTAAAGCATTTTTTTGAAAATATACAGTAAGGTTCCATATTACCACCCGATTTTCTCTAAGCCTACTTTCGGACTTTTTGTACAAAAGCCTTCAAAAACCATACTTATAATTACACTAGCGAAAAATCCAATTAGGAACATTTAGTTTAATAGTTAACAGTACTTTTTGCACAAAAAATGTGGGTGTAGTTATGATACCTTGTTTACAATTCACTAAAATGTAATTGGGGTTCCATAATACCACCTTCTCCTCTATATATTAATTATTAATTACACATTTAAATTGATGCCACAGTTTAGTGTAGGCTGTAGTACATTATAAACAAATCTCTTGTTTATATATATTTATATTACAGCACATATGTTTACACTCCATACCACTATCTATGTGTTGGGCATGCACTTCACATGTAAGAACATAATTCAATTAACAATTTATTTTCAAAATTATATATTTTTGAAGTCAATTATAACTGGACCAATTTCAATATATGTAACAAAATTGGCAGAAACATGTCGACACAAAGAATAACACTATGACTTAGGTTTGGCACAATACCATTGAAAGGTTGCTGGCCCCTGAATTAAATAATTAAATTGTGTTAAAATTGTAATTAATTACAAGCTTGAGATATTTTTATTTATTTGATAGGACAGTTCAGATTTAGGAAGTTCACTGTGTGAAATTTTTATAGCAAAGAAATGATGATTAGTTAATTTTAATAATGAATTGCTTAATTATGTAATTTTCTTCTATTATGATAGAATTCATCGCACAGCATTTAAAACTTTAGCAGAAGCTGTTAGAGAAAGTGAAATTGCAAATACTGATCCAGGAAAAGTTATTTTACATGCTACAAAACAAAGGTACAGTTCTGTAAAATATATATATATATACTTTTTTTGTTTGTTTATATAAGTGTTGTGTATATGCATATATTTGTTGTGAATTTATATGTATTTGATGTTCATTATTTATTAGTAGTAAATATTTTACTATTTTAATAAATATTGGTGTTTATGTAAATATTTTTATTAGTTTAAATAACATTTTAATGAAGTATTAAATTTCATTTTATATATATATAAAACTTTGTTATCATCTAATATGTGCATAGATAGATAAAGGGCATTTCTACATCATCTTTAAGATGATGTAAAAATCTGAATAAAGATGATGTAGAAATGCCCTGTGTCTGCCTATACACCTAGTCATGAAGATAAAAACAAATTCCATAGTTTTGTTTACTTCATGTTAAATTCAAGTAAAATCTATGCATGCAATGGTATTACTTTACAGAATAGATACATTAAAACTGTTTTTAATGATATCTGCAAGGAAAGGTGATAGTTTCAAGATTTACTTTCCCTTTGGTTATATATTTTCCTGTATTGCCATTATCAATATATATTTAACAATATTTATATTGATGATAATTGCATGCTAAAAAAAATTTGATTGTAGTAACATCCTTGTAAGTGGTTTACCCATAATATTTAAATAAATAAATTGAATATTTAGATTGATAATGATGATAGAAAAAAATATAAAAGTTTCAGCTCTTAAATTTTATTATGCTATGAGAAATGTGTATTTAAAGATAAGTACTTATTTAATTTTGAGTATATCTTAACTCTGTAAGAAAATAAAATGATCTCCAGCATAATATTTTCAAACAAGTTAGTTTTGAATTTGTTCCATTTTCTTTTACATTATTGTAAAAAAATGATGCGAGTCTTTACTAATAACTGGATATTTTAATCTGAAAATAACTTACTTGAAAATTTTACAGAATTTTAGGATATACAAAATATTCTTAAATTTTAACTGAAAATATTAACACAACCTTGAGTTAAATATTTTAAGGTTTTAATTAACCTCTGGTTTAATATTTGAGAGTTTTAATTATACATATTATATAAAATTTATGATTTATAATAATTTATTTTACTTAATAGAAACAATTTTTGTAAATAGATTTAAATTTTACATTTAATGTACATATCAGAATTTAAATCAAATATTTGTTTGTTTTGCAGTAAATTTTATATAGTTTTTTTATAAATAATCATGTGAACAAAAATTATCTTGTATAATTTGAAAAAACAGTTTCTTAATATTACAATATTAAACTTTCTAATAACCTATATTTTTTTATATTAAAAACTATCAAATATTCTAATTGATACTAATTTATTATTTACAAAATAAAAATTGTTTTAAACATGTATTATAATTTATAAATTTTCTTCTATATTTGGATCATAAAATTTGTATAAGATATGTTTAATAGTCACCAAGGTACCACTGTATTGGGAGGAAGAAACACAACATTGATTTCCAGGTATAAATTCTGCAGAGATTTTGGATGTCTTGGAGCATTGTCTAAGATTAATAATGCTTTAAATTGTAAATTATTATTTTTACAATATTGATTAACTGTTGGAACCAATGTTTAAATATTAATGCAGTAACCCAGGCATTTCTATTTGACTTCCAAATGACTGGAAGCAATTCTTTATCTTTCCCTTTCAATACTCTTGGATTTTCTGCTTGGTAAACTAACAATGGCTTCAATTTTAAATCACCAGCTAAGTTTCCACCAAGAAGCAATGTCAATTGGTCTTTAGAAGGTTTATGTCCAGGGGAAACTGATTCTTCCTTTGATAAAAATGTACAACTAGGCCTTTTTTTCCCAAAATAAACCCGTCTCACTACATTGAGACGGGCTAGGAGAATATTCTCCATCAACAATAATTTTAGAGAATGAGGAAATAAATTCTTTTACAGCATCTTTATCTGCATAAGCTGATTCTCCAGTGAATTTAATATTATGTAAAGAATATCTCATTTTAAATTTGTCGAAACAGCCCTTGCTTGAAATACTGTGTTGGAATCTTCATTTAATCTAGTCTTTCAGTCTTCATGCAAACTAAGAGCCTTAGCTTGAATAATTGAAAAACTCGGTGGAACATTATTTTGATGTTGATCATCAATTGTGAGAGTAGCCAAGGACGTAGGTCTCAATCTACGCCACTTACGGGCACTAGTCGGTAAGACCAGTTTTCTAACTTTAATAGGAGAGCGTTATCAAAATTGATCCGAACTGCGAAGTTCAGATGCTCGTCAGGATTGACACCAGTTTGTCAATTAAATTCCGCGGACAAACACGCGTATGAGATCTGATTCGTTCACGCAATTAAAAGACATTTTTAATTAAAACGAAATAATAAATTTAATATAACAAGAAAATAAATCATACAAAAATCTCAATGAACGAGAGAAAGAATTTCCACAATTAACATGCAAATCAAGAGATAGCTATACTTCTATTATACCGAATGCGCGATTGAGAGAGAGAGAGCTCACAAAAACGTTATAAAACATACAACCTGGGTTAGTTGACGTTCGTCTTCTTATTCGGTAGGTAAGGGACACCTTGTAGATAAGTTCATGTACTTCTTCGATGGAAGATCAATATGTGCACAAATATAAAAGTATATTTACTAAGTTCAGACTCGGGACTTAGTCTATGGGACGCGTTTAAGGGCGTTGGTCATCAGGAGGAAAACTGTGTGGAGTTTGACGCTTCGGATCTGTCGAAGAACTCCCTCGCTGAACTCCTCGAATTCGGGCTGATTTCTCTTATATCTCCTGAATCCCGACCAATCATCGGCCAGTAACTCTTTCGTGAGAACGGATGAAAGGGGGGATGAATGAGGGGTAATCATTTCCCATCTGAGCAGGATTTTAACCAGATAAGGGAAAGTCAGAGGATGTTCTCTTCTGTGAAAGGAAGTAACATCTGTTATCTGGGTTTTTCCCACGTTAAAACAGTATTTTTCTCACCAAAAATGAATTATTATTTGGTGACATTATTTTACATAATTAATAAAATTATTAACTTAGACCCAGGGGCCTTTCGAATCTCACACAATCTATGAGGACAAAGATCTTTCCATTTCATCCATTACTATGCTGTGTCTTTTGGAAAAAAATCTTTGAAGATATATTTCCACAATTTTGAATGTATTCTTTAATTTTACTCTTATTTTTTAAAATTGAACATTTCATAGATCTGTTTACATCATACAAATGTCCAATTGAAGCAAAGGATTCACCATTTTCAGAACATTTATCAACACTGCAGTTTCTCTGTTTCTCACTCATGTTTATCAATTTGTAAGGACAAAATATTTAAACATAAACAAATAAATTGGCAAAACACACAACACGTCGATGCATGCCCTAATGCAAGACTGAAACTGTTTTGATCTCTTGCTCAGAACAATAACACAGTAGTGATTACGATTCCGAGAAGTCCACTATTGTAGGAAGTAATGTGTGTCCGAGAATATATAGCGAGCTACCATACTTTGTAGTGTATGAGAATTCTGCATGGAAGCAAATTTTTTCATTATCGACAAAAATATTAAAAAGTTTAATTTTTTAAAATGTGCAAAATAGGGAATTGTGTGAAAATCAAGAGCCACCTGTAGTTTTTTTTGTTGGTGAATACCTAATCAACATCAACAATTAAATAAAAACTTTACTTCTTTTCCAGCAACAATTTCAAATGTAGAAACAAGCATCTTTTGGCTTAATTCATAGGCCAACATCAGATCTGTAACTTAATATAAAATACATACATTTAACCAAACTCACCAAGGTAATGTACAGATATCTGGCTGCCATAATTCTTATCTAATCAACATTTTCATTTGTTTTATTTTATCTATAAGGGTTATTCAAAAAGCAATGTACCATAATTTATATTTGGGAAACAAAGACTGCAATATGACTTCCTTTTGAGGAGTTGTATCAGGAAGCTTTTGCTAACTTTGTGAAAAATTTCAAACCAGGTGGAACCACTATGACTCCATTGAAAAAGGATGAATGTCACTGATGCAAGTCCAAGCAGCATGCAGTGATAGAATTCCTCATTGCTAAAGGGGAAACTGTTGAAAACATTCACAAGCAATTGTGTGGTGTCTACGGTTCTGTAGCTGTTAACCAAAGCACCGTCAATCATCGGGTGAAACGTCTGAAGTCAACAACAGTAAGAATGATTGCTGTGTTTTGGGACATCCATGGTGTTACTTTGGTGGCTGTCATGCCTAAAGGATCAACTACTAACTCAAAAGGCTTATGTCACCACTCTGAAAAGGCTGAAGAAGCATTATCAACATATCAACATGTGAGACATGAGAAGAACCTGTGAGACTTGCTTCTTCAGCATAACACAAGGCCACACAAGTCTGGAGACTTGTGAGGCAATCACAAAACTGGGTTTTACAGTAATGCCACATCCATCGTACCATCCTAATTTAGTGTCATCAGATTTTTTACAGTTTTGGTCCTTTGAAAAATGCTCTTTATACCAAGTTGCAGTCAGATGATGTTTTCAGTGCTGTGAGGAAATGGTTGTATGCACAAGATCAGGACTGGTACAGAGCCAGCATAAGTGCCCTCCCTCAATGTGGCATATGGCCAAAGACAAGGATGGAGACTTTGTTGAAAAATAACATGAATAGCTGAAGGTAACAGCTAGGACATGCCCAAGTTTCACAGTTGTATGTTTTATACTAGCAGAAAAATAAATTCTAGTGCATTACTTTTTGAACGAACCTTGTAGAATCGTCAGTTGACAGGTAAATAAATGCTTTTTAGCATTTTAATGTTGTTTGGGTAATGTGGGTAAGCTGGCCATATTGTTGGAACAGGGTTCAAATTTCAATCATAAGGATAATTGATTCCAGTGAATAGTTGGGCTTGATTGCTTTGTCCATTTAATGGTCCATGGTGTATGTAATAATTTCCTCCAAAGTCATAGTTCAAAAGCGTGGGTTTTGTTATTTTGGCTTTT